CCTGACCCTGTCCCTGTCCCCTGACCCTGTCCCTGTCCCCCCTGACCCTGTCCCCGTGGGTGGCAGGTGCCGGTGTTGGCGCTGGTGGGGAACGACGCGTGTTGGACCCAGATCAGCCGCGAGCAGGTGGCCCTGCTGGGCAGCAACGTGGGCTGTGCCCTCGCCCACCTCGGTGAGAGCCGGGACACCCCCGGGGGACACCCGTGGGGACACCCCCGGGGAACAGCAGGGACACCCGTGGGGACACCCACGGGGACACCCCCAGGGGACAGCAGGGATGTCACGGCTGTGGGGGACACCCTTGGGGACATCAGGGGTCCTCTGGGGTGGATCATGGTGGGTGGTGGCAACAGGTGGCCTTTGGGGACATCAGGCCAGGCTTGGGGACATCAGAACACCCTTGGGGACAATCAGGTCACCCTGGGATCAATTAAGCCGTGGGTGGTGGCACCAGGCCACCCTTGGGGACATCAGGACACCCTTGGGGACATCAGAACACCCTTGGTGACATCAGGTCACCTCTGGGGGGTGGATCGTGGTGGGTGGTGGCACCAGGTGGCCCTTGGGGACATCAGGCCATGGTTGGTGGCATCAGGTCACTCTTGGGGACATCAGGAGTCCTCTGGGGTGGATTGTGGTGGGTGGTGGCACCAGGTGGCCCTTGGGGACATCAGACCAGGCTTGGGGACATCAGGTCACCCTTGGGGACAATCAGGTCACCCTGGGATCAATTAAGCCGTGGGTGGTGGCACCAGGTGGCCCTTGGGGACATCAGGACACCCTTGGGGACACCAGACCATGGATGGCGACCCCAGGTCACCTCTGGGGTGGATTGTGGGGGGTGATGGCACGAGGAGGCCCTTGGGGACACCAGGCCACCCTTGGGGACAATCAGGTCACCCTGGGATCAATCGAGCTGTGGGTGGTGGCACTAGGTGACCCTTGGGGACATCAGACCAGGCTTGGGAACATCAGGTCACCCTGGGGTCAATTGAACCGTGGGTGGTGGCACCAGGCCACCCTTGGGGACAATCGGGTCACCCTGGGATGTGGGTGGTGGCACCAGGTGGCCCTTGGGGACATCAGAACACCCTTGGGGACACCAGGCCACCCTTGTGGCCATCAGCCCATCCCCTTTCCCGCTGTCCCCTCCCCCCCACTCCAGGAAGGTGACCCCGTGTCCCCCTCCCCCCCACACACCATTGTCCCTTTGTCCCCAGATTATCACGGCGTGGCCGAGGCCCTGGGGGGCCGGGGGGTGCTGGTGGCCCGAGGGGACAGCGGGGACGGCGGGGACGGCGCGGAGGCCGCGCTGAGGGCGGCGCAGGAGCTTTGTCACCGCGGCCACCCCGTGCTGGTCAACGCCCTCATCGGCACCACCGACTTCCGCCACGGCTCCATCTCCGTCTGACGGCACCAGCTGGCCCCAACCGGCCCCAAAGTGGCCCCAGGTGGCCCCAACTGTCCCCCAAGTGGCCCCAAGTGTCACCAGCTGTCCCCAAGTGGCCCCAACTGGCCCCCAAGTGGCCCCAAGTGTCCCCAAACAGGGGGCAGGAGGGTGACACCCGCCCCCCTGGGGACAAGAGGTGACAGAGGTGACCCCAACGACTGTCCTCAACTGTCCCCAAGTGGCCCCCAAGTGGCTCTAAGTGGTCCCAACTGTCCCCAACTGTCCCCAAACAGGGGGCAGGAGGGTGACACCCGCCCCCCAGGGGACAGCAGGGGACAGAGGTGACCCCAACAGCTGTCCCCAACTGGCCCCAGGTGTCCCCAACTGTCCCCAAGGAGGGGGCAGGAGGGTGACACCCCCCCCAGGGGACAAGAGGTGACAGAGGTGACCCCAACAACTGGCCCCAACTGTCCCCAACAGCTGTCCCCAACTGGCCACAAGTGGCCCCAGGTGTTCCCAAGGAGGGGGCAGGGAGGTGACACCCCCCCCCAGGGGACAAGAGGGGACAGAGGTGACCCCAACAGTTGTCCCCAACTGTCCCCAAGGAGAGGGGAAGGGGGGGTGACACCCGCCCCCCAGGGGACAGCAGGGGACAGGGGTGTCCCCAACAGCACCAATAAACGCTCTGGGTGGCACCGAGAGGGGCGTCGGGTGACGTCACTTTGGGGGGGTCACCAACCCCCCCTGGGGACACTTTGGGGACTGTCACTTGTCTCCCCCTCCCCCCCCAGGTGACATTTGGGGACAATCCCCCCCCCAGGCAATATTTGGGGTCTGTGACCACCCCCGGTGACATTTGGGGTCTGTCCCCACCCTTAAAGTGACATTTGGGGACTGTGACCCCCTCCAGGTGACATTTGGAGACTGTCCCC